CTGCAATCGTCGTTGCCATGGTTGTGTACATAAGTTTGAGGTGGACATTTCAAAATCCGGGGTTTCCTGATTTTTTATTTTTTTTTTGATATTACAGGGATTTTTGGAAAGTTTCCAGAAATTTTCCACCCCCTTTGCAACCCTACTAAAAACTTTATTTGGACAACTTTAAAGCCGATTTTCTCAATATTTGGATTTTTATTGTAAATAGTTGTAATATTGCTCTATCCTAACAATCCATACATCAATGGAAAGCTGATTTATTCAGCTTTCAGATGGTGTATAAATCTAATCTATTTTTTTTTTTTTAATTGACCCTTATGACTGGGTTTGTGGTCCAGGGTCACAAATCAGCACTGAATCTGCACAACATGCTGTAACTTCCTCTGAAGTGAACAAGTCTTTTTCTCTCTCTTAACCCTTCAGAACCTGAAGCTAAAATAGGCCATATTCACTAATTTAGTTTGTTTTATTTACTATAAACTTACAATACAATGTGCTATCTTCAAGCGCAAGGTGTCATTTTTTTCAGAAAATTACTGGCTTACAAGAAATTAGTTATTTTACATCACTGTGTGTGGAGAGTTTGTAAATAGAATCGAAATAGACCAAAATATAAAAAACGGGAAGACATTTTACAGCTTTTTATTTAGAAAACAATCAGGAACGAAAGAATCTAATGCTTCAATCTTGAAAAAGGAACTATAATGCATTCATACAAGTCTTTTTGGAACACTGGATTTCACAGTTTTCACTCAGGAGCCTTTTTTTTTTTTTACACCAGTTTTCCAGGCGTTTTTGGATCCTACAATCTAGTCACTCAAATGTGGTGCTCTCTGAAGCAGTTCCTGTCTAACTGCAAGCATAGTCCCACATCACATTCCTGGCACTTCCATGGGGTGCTCCTCTTGCATCGTATGCAACGACGCCGACCCATGCTGGCCCTCTGTGAAAGGTCTTGAGTGTCACTCACAGGAACAGGCAGATGATCGCATCTCTCTTTGGGGCTGCCATCCAGGGGAACACCTGTGAGCTGAGCAGCTAGCAGCTCCTGAAAGTTTTGTTGTGTCATGTGCTTGTCATGGTGGATGGCACACAGCTCTTTGTGTAAAATGAAGCTGTTGGTCACTGCAATGTCCAGGAAGTGCTGGAAAATTGTCATGTACCACTTCCGTGTTTTACGGTGCAC